ACACGTTTATCGGACTGGGCCTAGTGGTCTGATGGAGACGTGATACTCGGCATCGGTCGGTGATGATTGGTGGCTCTCTCCAGTATGGGTTTGAATGGTGTGGGTCCGCGGCCCTAGAGACTCGATCAGGATAGCAGAGGCTTGATGTGGTGATAGCAGTGAGGCGTGCGATAAGCACGGGACACAACGACGGGCCAAGACACTGGTGGTCAGACATGTGGTCAGGCAAATTATGCAGAGGATGCTGAAGCAATGTTGACGAGTACCAGATTCAAGTTGGTGACTGGGTCTATGGGTGCCGGTTGATGGACAGGAGTTGACCATGAAGAATCTGAGAAAGTGGCGGAAAGTCTGAAATTATCAAAAGCTAAGAGAGTACATGGCCGTATATTCTGTGGTGTTCAGTGCACACAAATTATGGATGATAAATACAGAAGGAGGTGGAGTGCTATAGCTGTGGGACATGCCAGAGACTATCCGAAACAAGGTTGAGACAACTACTGATTTGACTCAGGGCGACCGTGAAATTCCTTCAAGTTTCAGACAGATGGTCAAGAAAGAGTGGTGAGTTCAAGTAACTCTTATATGTGACATCCAATATGTGAGTTGTTCACTTTCACGCAGGTCAGTGATCGGTCTGTGATGACGTTGAACAGATACTCCGGAAGTTTGGGAGCACAAAGTAGGGTAATGCGGAACTTGATTTTGCTCGAGTTTTGTCTGTGAAGAAGACGAGAAGGGACTATAGTTGGAGGTGGAGTCACATTGAGTCTGGGAGTAGCAGGGGTGCTCATGGTGTATCTCAAGTCCAATATGGAGGTTCGATGCATGGATGAATCCAAGGTGGTGAAGAATATTCGTCAAGATGGAGTTTGTTAGAGTTGTGTCGAATATTATTGTACAAGGTAGATTACAGTTGGACTTGGTTTTGAACTGTGTGTAAACATGGTACGAGTTGTGTCCTAATAGGTCACTGGTATCCTAGACCTTTTATATATATCGGGGATAGACACACGATGTAACAAATGCCAATATAATAGCACCGGCGTGTGGGGGAGCTGGCGGCGTGTGCCGGCGCCCAGAGTGCGGTATTGTGACGGTGTCAAGGGGAGGAGCGTCCATAGTTAAGTCCGAGGGATATAGCCATGATGATAAACCTCATTAACAAATTTTGGTATCTTGTATGTGTGATTGCTTGTTCCTTGGTAGATTGAGGGAGTGCCTCGAATTTATTTTAACACCTTAAAGCAATCCTTGCCGGTAACGGCGACGTTGGTTGACGCCAGGCTTGCCGGGGACGCTCGCCGCCGATGCGTTCCTCGAAGCCATCCTCTCCGTGTAACGAAGACGCTCATCGATGCCCAACTCGTGTCCCATCCAACCGCGGATATGTTCCTTGATGCTGGTGCTAAGTCGCTTTCCCGTGGTACTCCATCTTTGTCGGAAGCAGCGGCCATGTTCGTCGGCGACCCAGCTCGGGCACCGCCCTGTTTGTCCCTGTTGGTGTGGAGGAGCTATCTGTGGGCATAGAGGCTGCTGGCTGGTGCGTATGTTTCTTCATCCGGAGCTGCGCTATCGCCGGTGAAATGTAAAGAGATGGGGATGTTTTTCTAAACGTGGGAATCGGAGTGGGCTGCAAGTTGAAAACGATGGTTCTTGCTTTGAGATTCGGTATGACACGTGTCAGATGCAGAAGTGGATCTCCAGTGTAGACATATACGGTCTGGTCGTATAGGATTTTTTTCCGTCCGGATGCACCACACTACCATGCACTCCTCAGGGACCACCGACTACAGCTTCACACGCCACGGCTCCATCTTCTCCGTCAAAGCATGGATGCTGGTGGCGAGGGCATATGTGAGAGTGCTGAAGGTTCACTCTGTATGTTGGAGTTGGAGTAGGAGGAGTGGGAGAGGACGTAGCAGCACCGGTGTTGTCACCATCGCCGCCGCTCACCGCAGAGGCATACCAAGTGTTCGACGAAATACATAAACCAATTGTAAACTCCGTTAAATGTTACGGATAGGCTAGAAATGATCAAAAATTAGAGAAGGAAAAATACTCCTCTAATGAATACTCAGCCATTTATTATTCTAAATTTTACGAGATCAGCTAGGGATATTCTATTATATGATCTCAGTTTCTCAGAAAGACTCAAAGTTGTTGTGCTGTAGTACTCATCGACGAGCTAAAGAAGGCGTGGAATTTTCAGGACATGGACAAAAACGCAAGTCAACCTTTCAGTGCACTATGCCATGTGATGGAGACTTAAACTAATCAGCCGTTACGCCTCTTGCCAGCTGTTGGCATCAGCAATTTATTCCATAATATAAATGGTGAACTTCTCTAGAGTCCCGGTCCAAGCTTTTGTTTCTTAGGCTGGTCATAGTGGGGAGTAATTTAGACTAGTGTCATGAATATGACACTAGTCTAAGTTACTACCTTCATAATGCAAAGTAACATAATAGTAATATCATAGATGGCTTCATTTATTAGCTCGTAGACTCATCTTGTCTTGAAAAGCGCTACGTTACAGTAACATATTATGTTACCACATCTCATTAATTACTTGTCACATAAGCAGAATTTTCTTGAAATGTGTTATGTTACTAGCTAAGTTACTCCCACTATGAGTAGCCTTATTGTTATACAAAATTTTGGCAAGTAACCTGTCCAATGTCATTAATAAGTATTCCGTTCAAAATGGGCTCATCGGGGTTTACGTCCTAAACTTGACACTAGTGCTCGCACTTTTCTAGATTTATTTCCGACTTTTCGGCAATATTCGTTCACTGAAAGTCTAGAGCAGGCGTTCCCGTCAACTATAAGGTGTTTGTGATAACTGTTTATTCTAAGATGTGGTGCCACTTCAGTATCTTGGAGATGCTTGGAGAGGTAACGTGTGCCTGCATGTGTTAATAAGAATAAGTGTATATACTTATGTGAGGATGTGCGATTGTATTAAAAAAAACTATTCTGTTATTCTGGTCAAAGTTGTTGCTTGTTCCACGCCCCATGACAACACTTCCTCAATTCCGTCCTTGCCAGCCATTTTGTCAAACCACATAAGATAAAAAAATTGATTACGATCTGCAATGACATCGGCCTAATCAGGACAGCCCAAACTCGTTACTTCCAAGCCGGCTTTGCTTGCTCCTCCATCTCAACCATGGCCGTGCGGTGTGATGGTGCGGTGTCTCGCGACATGCCTTTTGTGCTTCTTCGGAAGCCTGCCAGGGTCCGCATCTCTGGGCAAGTTAGGCTAGATCTGACTCGCTTGGCGAACCAGATCAGGTTTTCAAAATGGTGGGTTAAATGAAAAGTCGCATGAAAACTCCCAAAATGTTATGTGCTTTGATTCATTTTCTCCACGATACTTCATCATATCATAGCATGTCTAATTAGTTGTTTTCAAAATTTATTATGGATATTTTGATGTCATAATATATAAAATGGTGCCATCAGTATGCATGTTTCTCTACCGAACAACCACTCAAAGTTGTTGTGATGTAGTAGTTCTTATCGACTAGCTAAATAATGCAAGGATGTTCCCGGATTTAATAGGAAAACATAAGTACAATGACTTTCGAACATACTCTTCATGTCCAAGCAAAGTTTTGTTGACTTATACCTCTAGATGTGAAAAAATACAACATTGCAGTCCAATACATAAGACACAAAATGTGAAGAATTTTTTGTAGAAATGACAAAATGTGAACAGATCATATGTTTCATTGCTGACTGACCGAAACGATGATTTGTCTCAGTCATGACTTGATGGATAACGACACCATTGAAAACAATACAGAGCGTTGCTTCGGTACACCCCTGCTCACAAATCGTATAAAGGCAGATGGTCACTTGATCATAAGGTATACCCACCTCCATATGTGACACGTACAAGCTGTACATAGACGTACATAAACCTGTACACACACCCCCGCATCATGGTCTCAACCCATTTTCATTTTTTTTCAAACTGGCGCACACACACCCTCATTATGGGCTCAGCCCACCTTCATTTTTTGTCAACCTTCAAAAAATGTAGAGTGTGGTGGGATTCAAACTCAGACCTCTCTGTTTGCTTCGAACAGAACAATCAGCACAGCTGTCTCACCTAATATGTTTTTTTTGCTAGGCCAGGTTTTTCATCAGTTTTTACATCAGTTTTTACATTTAGTTTTTTTACCTCCGTTCTGGGATTAGCCCATTTATTTTTCTTTTCTTTTTTAACCTTCAAAAAATATGTGCATGAGGTCGGATTGAACTATAACCAACCGCGACGATTCACTTCTTGTGCCCAGTTACTTCTCTTCTTCTTGTGCATCTTCACAGTCTATTTTTTTGTCCTATTTTTATTCAATTTTACTTGTTTTCATTTTCCTTATTTCTTCTTCTTTTTGTCTTTTCTTTTTCATTTTCTTAAATTTGGCAACATTTCCTTCAATTTGTGAACTTTTTTCAAATACGTGAAATATAGTTTTTGAATCCATGGAAAATTTTCAAACGAATGATTGTTTTTTATGTTTCAGAACTTTGATCGAATTCGTGATTTGTTTGTTCCAATACATGCGATCTATTCTGTTTTGGGGGTCACAAAGAATTTTGGTTTCATAAAAAATACAAAAAGATTTGTTTCTATAAAATTAGAGAAATAATTTTTGTTTGAACCAAAAATTCGGTTCGGTCAACGGTTCTGACCGAACAGAACCAGAGTTTAGGCAAACTTGCTTATGCGACATCTTTTGGTGCAGCCAGGTTCAGGCAAATTTGATCGGTAGCAGCTGCCTTTATAGTTTTTTCACATGCTCTTTTCCTCAAGAGCAATCTGAGGTGGTACTAAACCAGAATGTGTAGGTGAAAAAAAGCTGAGATGAGAAAACGACGGGGAGGCTTAGATAGGTGTGTGGGGCAACTGGGCAAACTGGGTCGGGGCGATGAGGTTGTACAGAGCTTCCCCTGGCAGTCCATGCACTCATCGCTGAAGTCGGCAACGGTCCTTAGCGTGAACACCGCCAGCACGCGCTGTGAAAGCGCCCTGGCTCCCCTGTGTGGATGTCCCGCACAACCATGCACTCCTCAGGGACCACCGACCGCAGCTTCATGTGCCACGGCTCCGCCTTCTCCATCCTAGCGCTGCCGGAGCATGCGTGCTGGTGGCGAGGGCGCATGTGGGATAGAGCCGAAGGTTCACGCTGCACATACGAGTTGGAGTATAGGATGAGTAGAAGAGGTCGCAACAGCACCAGCATTGTCACCATCGTCGTCGTTCACCGCAGAGACGAATACCAAGTGTTCGGCGAAATGCACGAGTCAATTGAAAGTTCCACTAAATTTAGGGGATAGGCTACAAACGATCAAAATTTAGAGAAATGAAAATACCCCTGTAAAGAATACTCGGCCATTTACTATTCTAAATTTTAGGGGATCGACTAGAAATGGCATAATATATGATCTCGGTTTCTCAATGAATGACCACTCAAAGTTGTTGTGCTGTAGTTCTCGTCGACGAGCTAAAGAATGCGTGGTTGTTTCCGTACACGAAAAAAAGTCAAGCTTTCGACGCACAATGTCAGATATCACTTGATTTGCCATGTCATGGAGACTTAAACTAATGAGCCGTTATGCGCTGTTGCCGGATGTTGGCATCAGTTGGTTATTCCAGAATTTTACTGGTCAACTATATCTTGATTTGCCATGTGATGGAGACTTAAACTAATGAGCTCGTTACGCTGTTGCCAGCTGTTGATCATGATCATGATCATCAGGGTTAAAGTCCTAAACTTTCGCACTAGTGCTCGTACATTTCTAAATTTATTATTTCAGACTTTTCATCGATATTCGTTCACTGGAAGTCTATTGAAGACATTCCCGTTAACTATAAGGTGTCCGATGACTATCTATTCTAAGATGTTGTGGCAGTTCAGTATCTTGAAGGTGCTCGTAGAGGTAACGTGTGCCTGTATGTGTTCATAAGAATAAGTGTATATGCTTATGTGGGGATGTGCAATTGTACTAAAAAACACTATTCTGTTATTTTGGTCAAAGCTGTTGCTTGTTCCACTCTCTATGACAACACTTCCTCCATTCCGTCCTTGCCAGCCATTTTGTCAAACCACATAAGATCAAAAAATGATTACGATCTGCAATGACATCGGCCTAATCAGGACAGCCCAAACTCGTTACTTCCAAGCCGGCTTTGGTTGCTCCTCCTTCTCAGCCATGGCCGTGCGTGTGGTGGTGCGGTGCCTCGCGACATGTCTTTTGTGCTTCTTCGGAAGCCTGCCAGGGTCCGCATCTCTAGCCTGACTCGCTCGGCGAACTAGATCAGGTTTTCAAAATAAATATTAGCCTAGACTCAATGAAAAAAATCCTATGATGTGAATCAAAGAGCATCTCCTTTCCTATTTCTACTCATAGAATTTGAGATACATGTCATCGCATTTTAACTTTCCTATTCCTATGATTTTCCTATCCTATGAACCAAAAGAAGCCTGAGTGTATATAGTTGTGTGGGGATGTGTGATTGTAATAAAAAAACTATTCTGTTATTTTTGTCAGAGTTGTTGCTTGTTCCACTTCCTACGACAGCTCTTCCTCCATTTCAACCTTGCCATCCATTTTGTCAAACCACACAAGATACAAAATAATAATTGTGAGCTGCTATGACATCGGACTAATAAGGACAGCCCAAACCGATAAAACGTTGCAGAGGCCGGTCTGCAGGTAGCTCGGAACCCACTACGCCGAACCAGCATCAGGATCTGTGCTGTCAGCCGTATTGCCTTTTCCAGCATAGTCGGGCGTCACACAAAAAGGTTAGCCGCGTGAAATAGTTTCACGAACAGTTTATTCTGTGATTTGATTTTGTCCACATGTCAAATTTGTCAAATTTGCCAGCATGAACGGCCGTATATAAGCGTATTCCATGGTAGGCCCCTAGTAGGTGGGACAGGTATCGGACATGGGCGAAGCAGCATCTGTGGGCTGACTAGTGATTTGATGGGCCATTTACTTCCTTTTGCAGGTCGCCACTGTTGAGACGGCTGATGAAGGAGAGTTTTGTCAGGGAGGGTTTCTTGAAGATCCATGTTTATTAGCACCCTAATCACAGGTCTTGTAGACAATAGTTTGTTCCCTCAAAAAATAGACAGTAGTTTGTCGACAAAACAGTTTTTTGTTTAAACCCTACTTTGGTAGATTAATGATGTGAAAATAGGCAAACACTTAGAACGAAAACTAAACAGATGAACTAGAGCGTCATGTGTGATGCATGATGAACAGTACTTTCAATTGTGGTAGTTAGTGCGATCAAGATCTAACATCTAATTGCACTAGCAAGGTTTGGGTGCGGGTAATGCTCGCTCAAACACGCACCCATCTCAATATTGTTTGCCCAAATCCGTATCTGTACCCACAACCTGAGTTCCATATTGTTTCCATACCCGTACCCAACCAGGTGCGGGTAACACCAGTTGGTAAAAATACCATCTCGGTCATGTTTCAATTCACATTTTGCCATGATAATTTCAGTATAACTATATAAAACACAACATTTCATCATTTTAACACATATATGCCCATTTTAGCATTTTAGCACATATATTTCAGCATTTAAACATATTTATATATATATTTCAGCATTTCATCACATATACATAATATTACAAAATTTTAGCATATATATTTCAATACATAAACATGTCACATTTCAACATTTCAGCACACACACATAGTTATTTCAGCCACTTAAAGTTCAACATACAAATGACTCAACAAAAAAATAAGTTACACCACAAATAGGTTCAACATAGAAATGACAAATTGGTTCATGACACAAATAAGCATATGGATATGCGGGTATGGGCAGGCTTACCTGATGGTTATTACATTTCCCATTTATATACCCATGACTAATTATTTTTCAAACACTAAGGGCATCTCCAACGCCGACCAACAAACACATGCACTATTTTTCCACATTTTGCTATAGAGACTACATTTGGATGTATACTACATTTGGATGTATATAGACTTTTTTTAAAGAATAGGTTCACTCATTTTGCTCCATATTTAGTTTATAGCGAAATCTGTTAAAAGACTTGTATTTAGAAACGGAAGGAGTAGTTCTCAACGACTAGATAAAGAATACAAGGTTGTTCCCAGCTTTAATAGGAAAACATAAGTACAATGACTTCCGAACATACTCTTAAGGTCCTAACAAAGTTCTGTTGTCTTATATCTCTGGATGCGAAAAAATACAACATTGCAGTCTAATACATAAGACACAAAATGTGAAGCATTTTTTGTAGAAATGACAAAATGTGAACTGATTATATGTTTCATTGAGCTGACTGACCTGAACGACGATTAGTCTGAGTCACGATTTGATCAATAACGACACCATTGGAAACAATACAGAGCGTTGCTTCAGTACACCCCTGCTCAGAAATCATATAAGAACAGTATGGTCATTTGATCATAAGCTATACCCACCTAGCTGTACATAGACGTATACAAACCGGCGCACACACTGCCGCGTCATGGTCTCAGCCCATTTTCATATTTTTCAAACTTGCGCGCACACACCCTTATCATGGGCTCAGCCCACTCTCTTTCATTTCAACCTTCAATAAATATATAGTGTGGTGAGATTCAAACTCAGAACCTCTGTATTATTTTTGAGGGAATGCCATCATGGCGCACTTTATTAATTTGGCAAAATAGTTACATCATTAACCAGAGCATTAATTAGGAACCCTGGGGGTTCATCGACCCACGTACAAGATTCATTTCTATCATAAGCAAACTTAGCTAGGGTGTGCGCTACCTCGTTCGCTTCCCGGTTACAATGCAAAAATTGAACTGAACCTATCATACCCGCCATGATGAACCTATCATACTCCAAATTATGTCTTGTCCTGAACAAGCATTAATCACCTCAATCGAATCAGATTCTAATTGGATGGAGTGAAAGCCCAACCCATGGGCTAACATAAGCCCATGCTTCACTGCCAAAGTTTCTGCTGTATGTGCATCCGAGATGTGGGTAATTAGTGATCCTGAAGCAGCAAGAAACATCCCATGTTCATCTCTAATAATCACACCCACAGATCCATTCAATTCATCAGCAATAAAAGACGCGTCCACATTTACTTTCACCGTTCCATGAGATGGTTTACCCCACTTGATACCCAGACGATTCACATGTCCATTTCTGAACTTCAGGGATTTTTGATAGTTTAAACAGATGGCCCGAACAGCTGTTGGACACCGTATAACTGGGGACATTTGGTTATGATGCGTTTGCTGGCGACGCATCCACCACGAATACCAGCAAGTTAATGCAATTCCCTCTTTGAGGCCGACTGTTATCATGTTGGGCATACTAGTTTCCGGAAGACGCATCAAGTGCTGAAGAACTACCGACCCAGACATGTCCTCCTGTATGCATTCAGAGATTGTTTGTGAGATCCCTAGTAACCTCCACATTTCCTTGGCACGTTCACATTTAAAGAGCAGATGCATAACATCTTCTGGACCTTGGGAGCAAATAGGATAATGTCCGCTCGTCCCAACATGTCTATTCATTAATATACTTTTCAGTGGCAGTATTCCATTCATTGCCCTTCAACATGATATCTTTATTTTACCTGGAATCTGCAACTTCCACAAGATGGACCAAACTGGGTTTGGTGCAGCGGGACCTGCAGGAACAATGCCACTATTTTGATATTGGTGTTTCCACTCACAATGGTATGCTGACCTGACTGAAAAATACCCTGATCTTGTCCCATTCTAGGCTACAAAATCCCAAAAGAGTTGTAGCTCAAAGGAATTTGCAGGATACGGTTAACATCGACTGGGTTAAATACATCCCGTATAAGCTCTACATCCTATGTTTCAGTCGTAGGGTCAATTAACTTGCTTACTTTGGTGATCAATACTCCATTCCTTGGAGTAATAACTTTCCTCGACGGACTAGTGGGTATCCAGTGATCATTCCAAACATGTACCTATGTATTTACGTCGTACAGAACAACCAACTCAGCTGTCTCACCTAATATGTTTAGTAATACTTCTTTTTCTTCCTATTTTCCAGGGAGCTCATAGTCAGCGCTGTAGGCTCTTTCAGCGCGACCCAGGAAGAGATACTCTTGCGAAAAACCATCCCAAAAATATGCGCCATGGGGAATTGATCTCAAACAACACGACCCTGCCACCACTTTGCTTAACCACTAGACTACCAAACTACTAGTGA